TTCTTGACTAAACTATGTGAAGTGTAAAATTCTGTCAGAAGAACATTTTAGAAACTTTTGATATTTTGAACTAAGCATAGAACAGTAGCTATTTGTGCAAATGTATTTATTTATAATAATCCTGTTTTCTGTCTATCTACTGTGGGCAGCAAATAAATTTAAAAACATAAAAACAGTAATCTATCCCTAATTATGGTCAAATTATGACAAAGCAAACATCAAAAGAATAACATTTCCCGCTTACCCCAAAATATCAAAAGTTTCTAAAATGTTCTTCTGACAGAATTTTACACTTCACATAGTTTAGTCAAGAATTCAATGAGTTTAGCTCAATAACCATAGAAAAGACCTATTTTATTTTTGCTTCTATTAAAATCAAACATTTAAAGTTGGATTAAGTCATTTATAGAATGTATTAAAACAGATCTGGAGGCAATGACAGTCTTATTCCCATTTCAGTATGGAAGACAGTAAAAATTCAACCTAATTTTCCCTCTGGAACTTCAATTTTCTTACATGTGAAAAGTCCCAGGGGATGCATATCAGTTAATAACTGACTGCAGAAAAGTTTCCTAGAAAATCTGCATATTTGTCTCAAAAATAGGACTTTTCATGCATAAGTAAGTAGGTATATTTCTCCTCAAAGTAATGTTAGCGGATGAAATAAATGCAATCGTTGAATGTTAGAAGTGCTTTTGAGGCAAAGAAGGAAAACTATATTGGGAAGTGGAAAATGTGCACAAACCCCATCTTTCTAATGGCCAACTAAACTGTCTTTGGAAACAGAGAAGGATTATTCAGACTATTCTAGTGGACAGCATCATGCCCCAGGTATAAATTCTATTCTGATGTACTGCTAGAGTAATGTACCATATTAGAAGGGAAGTTAATATATATTATTTTTTAAGTAGAAGCTACAGCATTACAAACATACAGAGTGTATCTTTATTGTCGAAATAATACAATAAAATCGCAGAATTTGAATGTTCCCTTCATATTTTCACAAATACGTTTCTACAAACTTTTTGGACAACGGTTCAAGCGGCAATTGCAGAAGTATTGTTCTCCACTTGTTATTTCTGCAGATGGCTCATTTGGGAAGTTTACATTTAAGTGCTGAAAATTAGAGTCATTTATCTGTATATTTTAAACAAAGCTTCTCTCAACAAGCAAAGCATGAATATGTCATGAAGCAGCATGATATGAGCAAATTGTTTACTAAACTCTGGGAGTAATTAAAATAATTTCTACTGTTATGTATTATTTACTATAATTGCAATAGGATGTCTGTGTGTGCATAAGAAAAATTGCTAACAGTGATAAATATTTCACATATATTGATCCCAAAATATGTTAAATGGTCAGAAGTACCTAATTCAGAAGCATATAACAAATTCTTAATACAAGTTAAAATGATTTAAGCCAAAGAAAACACATTAATTGCTCAACTAAACTCTGCAATATATATTTTTCTAATCAAAATTGAATGTGTATCAGCTGAAAATGTTGTCAATTCATTGAACAGATCAGTGTTTCAGAATTTGATCCTATAAAGATAGTTACATATTTATTATTTATTTTTTATTTCCTGCACATAAAGTTATTTAAAAAAGAGAAAAATATAATTTATTTCTTTTCTAACATGTACATATATTTGCTAACAGAAGGATGTTTGCAAAATGCTGAAAGATGAGGAACATAAAATTAGTCCTAGTCATTTTATGCTTAAGTTATATAAGCAGAATTGTTTCATTTGCTCAGAGTTTCATCATAAGAATTATGGGCCTATTAGGCAAAAAGTATTTCAAAAATGTAATTTTTTTGATAATGTATTTTTTATAAGCAGAAGAGGGATTACATCATTAGTACTAAAAATTATTCTAACATGACTTCAGATAACTTTAATGAAGCTAACCTCAGAAAGGAGACATAAGAATTCCAACTTCAATGTTATCAAAATGACTGGAAAGAGACAAGTAACTATGCCCGCCAGGTAACTGATGTTATTTTTTTTGTGCCATAATTGGAGAAAATGGTAAAAAAGACTTACATTATCACGGTCATCAAATTTACTAATTAGGAGACATGAAAAAAAAAAAACACATTAGGGCTTTTCTAACATCTAAGCTCACAAAAATTACCATAAAGTAATTCCTTCCACAGACAAATGTTTTAAAATGGAACACCCGGTTAGTCTTTGAATTACAACTTCATTTGGGATCAGAACGTATATTGATAAGCAATGTAGTTGTACATATGATCACATTGCTTCGCGATGGCATTCCCAGCAATAGCACTTAGACTTATATACCGCTTCAGTGCTTTAGAGGCCTCTCTAAGCTGTTTACAGAGTCAGCATATTGCCCCCAACAACAATCTGGGTCCTCATTTTACCGACCTCGGAAGGATGGAAGGCTGAGTCAACCTTGAGCCGGTGAGACCTAAACTGCCAAATTGCTGGCAGCCGGTGATCAGCAGAAGTAGCCTGCAGTACTGCATTCTAACCACTGCAGCAAATCCAGTTGTCTTCAATGATAACCCCTTATTCAGTGCCATCATACCTTTGAATGATTGTTGAAGGAATAGTTGTGACTCAAGAACTACCTCTACACAAAGTGATACAAATATATTTCAAGCATAGAAGAACCTTTCTATATCAGGGGTTCTGAAATTTTAAGGAAATAATATTGTGTTCTATTTATATTAGGTATTACTTACACATTTTATATTACAGGTGTTCTAATATCAATGTTGTGGTTGTTCAGGAGAAACATTCATAGTTCTATAGATTTCTTTTAGAAGAAGTAGAGAAGTATCTTCTGATTCCCTACAGATTAAAAAAAACATGCTAATTTTCAGTGAATTGCCTAATTTGAACAAGTTTATTCTATTCTGTAATGCAGAGGAGGCAAATACCTAACTAAGGAGACTTGAAAAATTGCTATCCTGTTGCTTTACTTTGATTGCTTTTCAAATTAATTTCTTCAACATGTCTCAAATCTATATCTCTCCGCAACATCAGAATAGTTTACTTACGTCATTTAACCCTTCAGCTATGTTTTTAACAACAATATACAAAACACAGCATCTCAATCATTTTGACCCATAATTAAGCTAAAGGTAAAGGTTCCCCTCGTACATATGTTCTAGTCATTTCCAACTCTAAGGGGTGATGCTCGTCTCCTTTTCAAAGCCGAAGAGCCAGCACTGTCCGAAGACGTCTCCAATCATATGGCTGGCATGACTAAACACCGAAGGCGCACGGAATGCTGTTACCTTCCCACCAAAGGTGGTTCCTATTTTTCTACTTGCATTTTATATGCTTTCGAACTGGTAGCTTGGCAAAAGCTGGGACAAGTAATGGGAGCTCACTCTGTTACGTGACACTAGGGATTTGAATCACTGAACTGCCAACCTTTCTGATCAACAAGCTCAGTGTCTTAGTCACTGAGCCACTGTGTCCCTTTGACACATAATTAATTGTCCTTAATTTACTCTCTATGATTTACATCTATATTTCTTCCAATTCTTGTATCTCATTTCGTTGCCCATTTTCTTCCCTCATTTAGACAACTTCTGATTTTAGACTTTATTCTATCATGATTTCAGGCTCAGTTTTAATCACCACTGAATTGACCATGATTTCACTAATCATGTCTCCTTTCCACCCAATTGGTCTGCAAGCATTCTATTGCTCAGCAAATTAAAATATCTTTTAAATCTCATAACAGCACATTAGCTCTGCTACAATTAGAGGAAAAAACAGTTTCTGGGATGTATTCTGTAACTTTTATTAATAAAATTCATCTTTTTCACTTATTTTACATTTTTGATCAGGTGACATTTGTAGATTCAATTTGATTGTAATTCTAATTAATAGGCATTAAGGCTGTCCTAAACATTATTACAAAGAATACATTGCTAATGAAACTGGGGACAGATTGTTATTGCAGTTATATTATTAAAATGTATGTTTTATCTTTCTAGTTCTTGGATCATATATTCAGGTAGAATCTGCCTGCCCAACAGGCTCAAGCTTGAAGGAAGCTGCAAGAGATTGAGTAGATGAGCCTGCAGAATAGCCTTAGTAGTAACCCCCGTACTCCAAAACTCTGAATCCCCAAATCAGAGAGCCCCCATCTTGCTAAAATTTAGAGGATTGTAAAAATGGCACTCTTTCACATAGGCATGTGGTACATGAAAATGTAGTGGTAGAAAGCACTACTGAGATTTTAGTTGTGTTTTTCTTATTGCTTGTTCTTATTGTAAGTTAACCATAATTTTGTATGTGACATACAAATGTTTGTATAACTAAAATGCATTTGGAAGCAATGGTAAATAGATCCTTTTGCTCGTAGTATCAAGCTTCTTAGTAAAGGAACAAAATTTGACTCCATTCATAGAGTGGAACTATGTTTATTTTGTTTATTAATGCTGCACTATTGTAAAAATAATGTACTAGCAAAATGTTTTTACTTTTTTGTAATACAGTTAGCAGCACTCTAATTTAATGTTTGTACAAGTTCAGGGACTCAGGTTCGGTATTAATGTATTGATATTTCTAATTATTTGTAGGTGGTTGGACTTCATCTTATACCAAATGATGTAATGAATATATTAATACCAAAAAAAACCCAAAAACCAAGACTATTTTTATTTGTAATCCAGTACACCATCCTACAATATCAGTCCCTATAGTAGATTACTGGATCTAATGCAACAATTTTCTATTGTTTTATAAATAATTAAATAACCTTCAAGTTGTCCAAATAGATTTCAGGAAAGGATATAATGGTGAGTTAATCCCCAGAAGATTTTTTGTCTAATTTATTTGAGTACACTAAGGCGTCATACTGAAATAGAACAGCATATAGAAAGACCAAAAAAATCATTTATTATGTGAATCCTTGAATCTCTTCAGCCATATACTCAAAGGGCAGGGAGAGAGAAAGACTACGGTATTTCTTATTAATAGAAAAAAATATTATTTGTCTACTTCGTCAAGGTTTATTTTATTAATCAGCGATGTATGATGCATTTGACTTCACCCTACTATATAAGAACCTAACAATTTTATCATTTATTAGTCAACAGAATTTTCTTTAACGCAAGAGTGCCACCTTATGGAAATACTATCTAACAGTCTTTTGCAGCATAGATCAAGCAAAGGAAATTGGAACATTGCTGAAGCAAAATAGAAGCAGGCAAACTGGGACATAAATTCTAAGCCTCCCTATTTTTTTTAAGGCATGTAAGATGAATAAATTACTGTTATTTACAATCTCCGAATATAGTGATGGTAATCAACTTGGAAATGTTTAAAGTGTGGGAAACTCAATTCATAGATAATAAAATTGTTGGGAAAGTAAAAGAAAGAACACCACTGATTTCAAATTTTCTCCCAGTAGATCTCAGACTAGCTGTGGCAGAATATTTGATAAGAAATAGCAGGATGGTATATTTTACTAAAGTACATCAAACACAAAACATTTCCATATTTAGATGCCAGATGCAATACTCCCACATCAAAGTTTTTAGCAAAATAATAGACTACATTTACAAGTCCTCATTTTACTTTAGTTGTATGTATAAGAATTTGCCCACTCCTGGAGATTGAAACCAAGCTCTTGGTTTTGTGTAACATTACTTCAGTAAACAAGTCCTTTGTTCTTAAACTGATGCAGCAGAGTATCTCATATCTGTTTATATACAGTAGTTTGCCCTACCACCACAGGTAAGGGATTGGTTTTCACCTAAGTAGTTGTTTTTGTTTTGTTTAGGCTTGATTGTTTTACTAATATTTCCCATCAGGACTATCGGTGGAAAACATTTATGGGATTCCTCATTTATAGAGACTTTGCCCTTGTCGGTCCAGGGAGGTAGAAACTCTTTATGATCTCAGTATCTTTTTTATGATGCCCCAAATGTACACTGATCTGCCCAATCATCCCCAAATTTGGGGGAATCACACTGATAATTTTTCTGTTTATTACTTTTTGAGAGATGATAACTACACTCACATACCAGCTGAAAAAGAAGAATATCTAAAGAAACAAAATTTCGCACCACTGTTTGTTATAGAAATAAATAAATTCTTACCAATAGCACAAGTGACTCTGTAGAGCAAAAAGATACTCATTAAAACTTTCTATAGGTTTTTCTTGAAGAACATAATCAATACGACGGCCTCCATTTAGCAAACCAATTTTTATACTCAAGTCTTCATCCTTTGAAAGTTCTGGACTTTCCACTATCTTTTCTGTTCCAGGGAAAAGAAATTGAGTATGAAAAATACAATACAAGTTGAATCCTCCTTTTGCCACTCTCTTTTTCTTTACTGCAATATTTGAGTATTAGGCCTATTTATAACACAGTTACATTTTTTCTCCCGATATATTTACACTTCTGCGAATATGAATATGTTTTAGTTAGTCCATAACACAATAGGAATACTCATTCTATCTTGAAATTCTCTGGAATTTCAAACTAACAGCAGGTGATGAGAAGGCAGATAAAGAGATGAGCACTTCAAAGAGGATCTCAAATTATATTTCATTGCAACAATAACTTCAGATTCTTTTTTCAATAAAAGTATTTTAGCTTTAATCATTTAAGAAAAGTTAAGTAAAAAAATTCAACAGAGACAGAATAAAACAAACTTTTTCTGTCTAGAAAGTCAGTATTTGATTATCTCCAGGCAATTAGTGTTTTTATTTAGATAACTTGGTTTGTCTTGGTGTTTGATTAAGCCAATGCATTTATTATGTGCAAAGTACGGTTTTTACAAGTACAGGTAGCCCTTGATTTGGGACTTGGTTTACAACCATTTCTACTGTGGTCATTAAATGCATTACTGTGATTGTTAAATCAATCACACAGTCATTAAACAAAGCTGGTTTCCCCAATTGACTTTGTTTATCAGAAACAGGTTTGGAAGGTCACAATTTGTGTTCATTGACCAAAAAATGCTGCAACTGTCATAAATGTGAGTCACTTGCCAGGCACCAAAATTGCAGTCATGTGCTTGCCGAGATATTGTGACAGTCACAACTTCAAACATGGGTCATAAGTCACTTTTTCTGAGCCCATCGTAACATAAACTGTCATTAAACAAATGGCTGTTAGTTGAGGACTACCTGTAACTATTTCCCTTCTAGGAAAACTTTTATCCTTTCCAGGATAAAAATTAGAGTTTGCATATTGGAGGAAACTATATAAAACTTTATCAAGTTTCAGGGTACGAGATGTGAGTTCCTAACATGAGATTCTAGACTTCAATCCTGCAAGTAAAGAGATAGAAACACAGTTCAGTTTTATCAAGTTGAGCAGTTACTGAAAAGGATATGCTTGTATCAACTAACCTTCTGCCTCATCTTTTTCCTCTTCTGCTTTAATCTGGTGGGCCACTTTCTCCAATTCTGCTTGGAGTATAGAAGAAGACGTATGGGCACGTGCAAATTCGTTAAGGGTTTGCCAAGCAGTTTTCAAAGAGCTGAGAAAGCCTTGTTTCAAGTCTGATCCCATACGAGAGAGAGAATCTTTCAATTCTAATAAAAAAGAAAGATAGAAAAAAATGTAAATTAGATCCAACCACTGTAAGTTCAAAAAGCAATCACTTTGTTAAATACAAATGTTAAATAGTTACCTAGAAGTAAATACAGAATACAGCTTCAATTAAATAACAACAACAAAATCTGTTCTGCCATCCATAGACAATCATTTATTGTAGCTCTGTTCAGTCTGAAGTGATTATCTGGTTCGCTGTCCTGGTTTTAAAAATGTTTAAATTTATTAACCTGGTATACTGATGGATCTTCCTTGTTTCATTTCTCATTTACATTAATAGTAGGGTTGTGGAATCCTTTGGATGCTTCATGTGCAAAATAAATTAAATGAATACAGGGATTTGAAGTACTGCACAGCCGTAATTAATCTAAACAGGCTCCTTAAAGATTGGAGTATGAATCTTTAAAATCATCATATTTATTTCTCAGTCAAACTTAAGTGGCTGTCCATATTACTTAGCAACCAAAACTCCATATCCAATTATTATTATTAACCAAGAATTACCTGAAGCAGCACTATACCAAACATATAATTGTAACCATAAGTAGTGACCACTGTTATTTTGCTGTGAGTAGTGGTCAGGAAAAAGTAACTAACAATATTTTTATAGGATTCTTTAATTTCAGATGAGGTCCAACTAGTTCTCTAGATGTCCTAAGGCGGTCCTTAAAATCTGTTATACGTGGATATGGATCGTTTTCTCTAATTAATGAAAAACTATAAAGTTTTTGATTCATTGTTTAATTACTTTTCTTTAGTTTTAGGACTTGTATAGAGAGTAGATCACAGTTTAGTTCAAAAAGATTTACAAATTGTTAATCATCATTGTATTTCAACTGAGCCTATTTCATTTTATGCTTATTAGGCACCTACTAATGCTGCATAGAAAGATGTGTATTTTACTACTGTTGCAATAAACTATTTGTATGACCACTTTAATTCTGCCTTATTTATTTACTTGTTCATTCTCTACTTCAACAACCCTTTTCCTGCCTACACACATTGTGATGTCAGGTTAAAGACACAGACTAAATGGCAGACACTTTTAAAAATAGTAGCATTCCTTACCACTAGTCATTCCAAAATTACCAATGTGGAGAAAACAGCAGTTTGGAGGGAAAGCTTTATAAAATATTTTTGTCATTCAATGTGCAATCGATTGATACTGAATACTTTATATGTTGGTATGTTGCTGCTTTCTCTCTTTGCAAGCTTCTTCTGTTTATGCTTTATAACGTACATACTAGGTGTATCTTCAAGTCAGATATTAGAAAATATTTCAATTTGCTTTATTTACCAAGGTGGAGTCTTTTTCTGCCTTTGTGGTGTGGAATGAGGACTGGTTTCACATCAAAATCAGAAATAATCATAGGTTCTAGCCTGTATGCCACTGGATCAAGCTAAATAATAAAAAAACACGTAAGATTTCAAGTCTAAACACAGAACTGCACAGCTAGATTCACACAAAAATATTGGACTGACTTCCCAATAGCAACCAAAGGTCCAACACAGAATACATAGTTGGGAAAGAAAGTACATGAAAAAAGTTGCAGATGAAATACGTGTTTCCCCGAAAACAAGACAAGGTCTTATTTTCTTTTGACACCCCCACCCCACCTCCGAAATAAATGCTTGGCCTTATTTTCAGGAAGGGCTTATTTTGACGTATGTGCTCAAAAGCCCAATTAGGCTTATTATCCAGGGAGGTCTTATTTTTGGGAAAACAGGTATCTAAAGTCAGGTATTATCCTTAACAAAGCTTTTCTATTTCTATTTGCTCACATGCTATTTATTTCTATATTTCTATATTTATCTGCAAATACATTATCATGCATGAGGTCATATATAATTAGTACATTGATAAACAAACAATGAAACATCAGGTTGACTTATGACCACAATTGGGATCTGAATTTCTGTTGTTAAGCAAATTGGTTGTTAAATAAGTCACATCCAGTTCTACAACCTTTTTTGCGGTG